CACCATCTCCACCATCACCACCAACACCACCACCATCACCACCAACACCAACACCATCATAACCACCATCCCACAATCATCACCACCATCACCATCATCACCACCATCACCATCCCACAATCATCACCACCATCACCATCATCACCACCATCACCATCCCACAATCATCACCACCATCACCATTGTCATTACCACCATCACCACCACCACCACCACCACCACCATCACCATCATCACCACCAACACCAGCACCATCATGACCATCATGACCACCACCACTCTTACCAGCAGCACCACTGCCACCAGCAATGTCTGCACCAATTCCAGTCTACTTGCTCTTTCACTCACATGGTTCTCTCTTACCTTGAATCACTACTCCACACATGAAAACTTAATGGTAAAAAATAACTTGCAAAGTTTATTTGGCCTTTCTGTCCCTTCTCCCCCATGAACAGTATTGAATTCTGTGAGCTCATCTTTGTACTTTCCTTATATCATTTACAAATACTTATGCCACAGCCCCATGATAAATTATTGCATTCATTATTTCTTAAACTATATTTAAATTGGAATTAAATTTAATTTTTTAAGATTTTATTGATGTATTTCACAGAGAGAAACACAGAAAGAGAGGGAACACAAGCAGGGGGAGTGGGACAGAGAATCAGGCTTCCCACTAAGCAGGGAGTCTGATGCGGGGCCCAATCCCAGGACCCTGGAATCATGACCTGAGCCAAAAGCAGAATCTTAACCAACTGAGCTACCCAGGTGCCCCTAAATTTAAATTTTAAATCGAAATTTAAAATTTTAAATAAGAAATTTCCTAATCTGTAAAATAATAACTGTAACCTACCATGTAAGATCACGTGGGAACTAAAAGAATCTAGGTTAAATGCATAGAATAGTGTCTAGCATATTATAAGTGTTTAACAAGTGTTAGCATAGTACTTATAGAAATTTATAGAAAATAATATAATACTTATGAATCTACTATCAATATTAAACATACATTAAGATATCAGAATATTTGCTTCATATTTTTTCTTTTTTATTAACATATAATGCTTCATATTTTTTAAAAGAAATAAAACACCATACATACTACTGAAATATTAAAGCCAACCTGAGCCTTCTCTTTTCCTCTCCTCTTTTCCCTACAGTTAATCAACGTCCTAGAATTAGTGAATTTCATACCAATGCATGTTTAATTTTATATTTATATTAATAATATTACCATTATGTACTCTACTGAAACTACTTTTTTCACCCAACATTACAGTTTTGCTATTTACTCATGTCGATGTATGTGGGTCTATTTCTTTTATCTGCTTTATAGTGTTCCATTTAAAGATGACCACCAGCACCATTACTACCCTACTCAGAAAAAAATGATGCTGCTTCTATTTTCTAGTATCAGGGTTATTGGGTGAACATCAATAGATTAAATATCTAGGTAGATAGGAAGATAGATAGATGATAGATAGATAGATAGATGGATGGATGGTAGACAGGACAAGATAAAGAACAAGAGAAAATGGGGAAGAGAAGCTTCCTTAGGTATGTGCACATGAGCTTGTTTAAGGTAAACACAGTAAATCGATGTAGACTAGGTCATGTCGCAATAATGAGTCAACCCTGATCTCCACTGGCCTGATCTGACAAAGTTTATGTCTTACACACGTTCTGTGTCCAAAATAGTGGGCTCTGTTTAAGAACTAGGTACACAGAAGACCCAGTGTCCCAGCAGCCTCACCACCTGGAAGAAACACAAGTCTTTACAACTTCTACAGTAGAGAAATATCTCTCTCATGGTCCACATTCTGATTAAGAAATCCCTTTGCTCACCTATTTCTTTGCATAAAACACAGTGCCATCCTCTCTAAGGGAGACAGATCCCCCCTGTCACCACATCCAGCTCAAAGTCCAAGATCCCTAAAGGATACACAGCTTTTTTTCCATCCTTTGAGAACCAGGATAATTTCCATACATTTACGAGTGGATGTTCATACCAAGTTGAGGACACACATCACAGTGCATGGTCTGTAGCAGTCCTGAAGCCCTACAAAGAAGACCAGGGTGCAGGGTGAATTCTGACAGCCTCGGGTCGGAGCTCTTGTTCATTGCCCTTGTCACTGGTTTGGCCGTCCTTTGCCCTCCTCGGGCGCATCTGAAGTGGACTTAGGGGACTACGTTCTCTTAGGGGGTATATGGATTCTTCAGCCTGCCTTCTGCTCTTCGTGGTTGTTCATGAGACCCAGGGCTGTTAAAGTTTTTGAGTGGCAATGGACTCACTTACCTTGGTTTCCTGATAGCCTGTAATCATCAAACTCCCTCAAAAACTCAGTGCCCTTCCAATCCATCTGCTTCCAGTTAGTTCCATGTGCCCACGGTTTGCTTAGAGCTGCTCTCAGATCTCCTTCCTTTCTCCTCCTCATGGCTCATCCCTAATTGTCCATTCAGACAGGAGGCTATGGGCTTTGATGAAAAGGCCACACTTGTAATGCATTCTTTACTTTCAGACATATAATCTGCCTGTAGATTTTTTAAAACTTCATCTCTTAAATCTGTAAACTGAAATCAGTCATCTTTTCCCACACTGAGAAGTCACATTTTTGTTTCTCTGTATTCCTCTTTCTTTCTTTCTACAAATAAGCTGATCTCTCCAGAGCTCACCCTTCCTGTCATGTGTTATCACAACCATCCCACATCGGCTCAGACAAGCTACATAACCCTCATGCCAGCAGGCATGATTCTGCAAGATTCTGGGAAAACACAGGTATTCAGTGAGCTTGTTGCCAAATTACCTCCCAACCGTTCCTGTCGGTTTACACTTGCTCCGGCAGTGGGCAAAAGTGTACCTACCCACATCCTTGTATCCTTTAGTTTCATCGGCTTTCTTTTTAGCTGTTGGCTTTCTTTTCACAAGTCTGTACAACAAACAACTATCAGCTCCTTGAAGATTGGGGCCATGTTGGGTTTTTTTTTTAATTTTTTTTAAATTTTTTTACATTTCTTTTCAGTGTTCCAGAATTCATTGTTTATGTACCACACCAAGTGCTCCATGCAATTCGTGCCCTCCATAATACCCACCAGCAGGCTCACCCAACCCCTCACCCCCCTCCCCTCCCAAACCCTCAGTTTGTTTCCCAGAGTCCACAGTCTCTCATGGCTTGTCTCCCCCTCCCATTGGCCATGTTTTCATTTCCATACTTCCAGCAAGCAGCAACCATCTGAAATGTACCTGAAGTTGATCTAATGAATGTTGCTTAAATACACAAATGACTGGTGGGACTACTTATATTACTTTTAAGTGAAAAGTTTACCAATCCAAAGAATAGCCATAACAAAGTGCCAGCTACAAGAGTTTGATCTTGACAAGGTCTGATTACAACTGATGTCGCATCTCTTTGAAAACAGTGCTTTTGTGACACCAGAAAAAAGACCAAACAACAAAGGGACCTTCCAGCCCCCGTTCGCCTCCCCAGGGAATCCACTCAGGCCCCTAAACAGACCAGCACACCCTTCTGCCTCTGGATCCAGCCTCCCCTCCTTTCTAATCAGATCATCCCTGAATCCTGCCTCTCAAGTCAATGGCCGTCCATTGCTCAACAAGCAAGTAAATTCGGCTTTGATTGTTAGTCTGTTTCTTCTTACTCCTAGCAGTCTTTATGTCACCGCAATGTATAAATGTGTTTCCCTAGATCTTGACCAATGATACACATAAAGGGCACAGCATAATGCAGTGGTCAAACTCTAGGAATTGTGCACACCAAATCTGGGATTGGATTCCTGCTCTGTTTTTCACAGTGTAGTTTAAACAAATCAATTCACCCCTTCACATTTTTATTCTCTCCACCGTATGATGGGAAATAATGGTGCTTACTTAAAAAGATCCCAGCCAACATGAATAACCAATAGAAGGCAACTTGAACTTAAAGAATTAAACAAACATGAATAAAGCCCAATTTATTTCTATATATGGTGACATTTGCAGCTTCATCTCTAAAAGCAGGATGACTCCTGCCCCAGGAAGAGCTACTAGATTTGAACAGAGCTGTGATGAATACACTACGCTGACCTTGACCTCCCAGTCCATAGGAAGCAAAACCCATTCATCCCACACAGAGACCACCCCTCTCTCACCCTGAGCTCAAACTCTACTCTTCCACGTTGGGATCAAGTCTCTCGTGTACTTCACCCCTACCTTTGATCCTCACCACGGCTCTGTATATGGCTGTCCACAGAAACTGGACTTGTATTTGTTCTAAGAGCTCAGACTAGATTATAGGCAAAGTGGGCATTAAAAAAATCTGAGTCTCGGGACTCTTGGGTGGCTCAGTGGGTTAAGCTGTTGCCTTCAGCTCAGGTCTAGATCCCAGGGTCCTGGGATCGAGTCCTGCATCGGGTTCCTTGCTCAGCAGGGAGCCTGCTTCTCTCTGCCTCTGCCTGCCCCTCTGCCTACTTGTGCGCGCTCTCTCGCTCTCTCTCCATCTGACAAATAAATAAATAAAATCTTTAAAAAAAATCCAAGTCACAATGTTGTCATCAAGATCACAATCCGTCAAGACCCACATGTATTGCAAAGCACCATGCCAGTGCTGTAACCTTTCAGAGCACTGCATCACTTATAATCAGTAAAGATTATTTAGTTTACAAATGTTAATTCTATGATTGCTACATTAAATGTTTATATATAAACTTGCATTGGCAAATAAGAAACATATTTGATCTGTATTGTAGCAGTGCTGAATTTCTTATTCCGATCAAATAATTGAAAGTATTTTTCCTCGAAGAAAATTACTGAAGGAAAGCAGAAAATATTCTAAGAACTACTATTGCTATGAATATGTATACAAAAGGAAAACTAGTCACATGCACACATGTATTTATTCCAATAACTTGAGTAGGATACGTATACTACGTTAACTTTATTAGAGATTAAAACTGACAAAACGAGATGTATCTTCCTTAATTTATAAATCTGCAAACATTTGTGCTATGCACATGGTGGCTATGAATTTTCATAGGTCATTTTCCAATCACTTGAGTTAGTTTCTGTTTCCTTTAAATTTACGAATTCTTTAATAAAATCCCAAAGGTTCCTTAAACACAAGTGAACACAATAGATTAGACAAAAATGCCTCAAGCATAAGAGAAAATTTTAAAACAAACATTTAAGACATAATTACTCAAAAACACAAAGTGAGACTCTGTAATTTTCCACTTCCATTTTAAAGGATTTCTTGCAGAATTTTGGCCTGGAATGTAGCAAAGACTCTCCTTGTATTTGGACACAATCCCCTGCAGTATTTTCCAGACTAAGTATAGTGAGGCAACAGATGTAGATTTATCTTGGAGATAATGATGTTTAAACTTTAGGTCCATCCACTCTCATTGCCAAAACTATGGAAGGAGCCTTCCCAATTTTGTATTTGTAATTCTATCTTCTTTTCTTTGAGGACACCCAACATAATACAACCCACCTGTGTGGTTCACTCAGTCACCATTCTACCACTGTTCTCCCGTGACTCTCTCTACCACGTGAGCTAGAAAGTAGAGTGTACTATTACCTAGACTCCTTTGTGGCTAAGGATTGTCTTGGGACATGGTGCTGGGCGCTGAGATATGGTTGTAAGTCCCTGAAAGCACTTCCCCTTCTAAATAAAACAGAAAAGTCTCCGGGTGAGAAGCTCTTTGCCTTTTGTCTTTCCCTTTCCCCTTTATTTCTCTATGGGATGTGGACCCATGCCTGAAGATAGTCACACTGAGGCCTCCAGGAGGAAAACCATACTCGAGGAAAACAAAGAAGAAAGATAGAAGATACTGGTTCCTTGATATTATCATTGAACTGAGGCCACCTACAACTAAATGTCTTTTAACTGTTGTTACAAATTAGCACTTTCCATACTTAAACCAGCAATGGTTTTCTGTTGCTCCCAGCCTTACCAAATCCTGACATGTGAACTGTAGTACCAATTCTAAGAAAATTAACTATATAAAGCTAAGTTTATGTAATTGATACTATAAATCAGCCATTTCATTTTTAAATTAAAATTGTCAGAGTGGAGAGAGTCAATGATCATATGGTTTCACTTATTTGTGAAACATAAGGAATAGAATGGAGGACATTAGGAGAAGGAAGAGAAAAATGAAGGGGGGAAATCAGAGGGGGAGATGAACCATGAGAGACTATCAACTACAGGAGACAAACTGAAGGTTTTAGAGGGGAGAGAGATGGGGGGATAGCTGAGCCTGGTGATGTGTATTAAGGAGTGCACGTGTTGCATGGAGCACTGGGAGTTATATGCAAACAATGAATCTTGGAACACTGCATCAAAAACTAATGATGTACTGTATGGTGACTAATATAACATAATAAAAAAAACTGTCAGAGTAATAAATGCACAGCATTCTTCAAAAATTTAATGTCATTAAAAGCCATATAATTTGAGAAAGGAAAGTCACCACAGTCACCATCTCCCCACCTTCCTGATCCCTGCCTGTGAGAAATTACCCTCAATTCTTCAGTTTTTTCCAAAGAATTTATTTCTACATTGCCAAGTAATATATAGTGATGAAGATTTAAATCTTGGGCTAAGAATTCTTGAGCCCAGGAAAGAATATAACATATATATTTAAAGTAAACACTCATGAATATAAACATTTCAGAGCACTGTCCTGTCTAATGCAGATCTGAGTGGACGGTTTTGAGGAGAGCGTGAAATTGCCTTGCTTCTTTTATCACATCATCAACACTTACCGTCGCCCCTCCTCACTCATCTTACTCTTCTCCATGGTCTGCTTCACCTGGATTTCAGTAACCTGCAGAACCAAAGTCATTTGGGCATGTGTAATGGCATGAGACTGACCTTATCTGATAAGAAGATTGAATCAAAATTGAATACCACTTCTAGAACCAGGCACAACATACTAATGTACATTGTATGTAATTCAGAGGGATATGCATATCCAATTGAAGCAGAATTACAATCTGTTAAGCAGCAAATTGTTAGTGTGTGTTCTGGAAGGGTATCCTGAAAGACATTAGAGAACCAATTCATTATATTCCCTGTTACCAGATAAACTCATTACAACTCACTGTTACATGTGCAAGGGTTAGAGAAAAAGTCAATTCTGACTGGCATATTCAGCTATTTAAAAAGGGTGTTTATTTTTTTCATTAATACGTTAGCTTACACGTGTCCAGTTTTAAGCTAATGTCTGCAGAGTGAGATATTCTCAGCATTACAGAAAGTTATCATTTAGAAAAATAATGTATATATTCTTATTTTGTTTAGGACAAGAAGCACACACACATCAATAAAGGAAATATTCCTATTGAAAAACATTAATTCATAAATACTTACATGCATTTTCTTCTTTAAAATTCTGTTTGCTGTTTCCAATTTTATAGCTTCAGTCTGAAGAAGAAATGGTTTTAAAAGTAAGATGCTTGGTTAAGAATATTTGTTAAATACTTCTCCCCATTTATGGGGCAAAAAGTATTATGTAAACAATGTTATTCTAATTTCAAAAGTACCCAAGAGCACACCATTTAAAAAACAGATGAATAAACAGAGCATGACTTAAAGGACATGAGGCAAAGAGAGATCAGTAGCCTCCTAGGTCAAAAACTACAGGAGATAAAGGTTGGTATTAGAAAAACCCAGAGAATTTTAGGGAAATTCTAAAGAAGTTCCTTAATTTTTGTAATTAATAACAGACTTTGTTAAGGTGGCTGGATACAAGATAAAATACAAATATCAGGGGCAATCGCTTCTCGGCCTTTTGGCTAAGATCAAGTAACAAATATCCAGTGTAACAAAACCAGGGGCACCTGGGTGGCTCAGTCGGTTAAGCAACTGACTCTTGATTTCCATTCAGGTCAGGATCTCAGAATCATGGGATGGATCCCCACGTGGGGCTCTGTGCTCAGCATGAAGCCTGCTTCTCCCTCTCCCTCTGCCCCTCCTTCCACTTATGTGCTCTCACTCATTCTCTTTCTTGTGCTCTCTCTCAAATAAATAAATAAAATCTTAAATAAATAAGAACAGACTGTAAACAAAAAACAGAAGCAATCTGATGCATTATTTTAAAAGAAAGAAGTCAAAATAAGTTTAAACCATCACCACCTTCCTATATACTTTATAATTCTGCTTTAAAAAAAAGATTTTAAAAAGATAGTGCTGGGAAAATACATGCAACTATATAACCATGAGAAGAAGAAGAATCACACATCACTTATAAACTCTGTAACTAAGTGGTAACATTGAGTCAGATTCTACACAAATAAAAATCAGATTATAACATATAAAAAGCAGGGCAGCATAACATTTCAAAACATAGATTACAATCTACATTACACTGTTCATCAAAAATTGGTTAGTGATAATTGTTAAAGACTACTTTTAACACAGCAGACTCTCCTTTCTATGGTAGTAACTGATTTCTATCTTCTAACGTAATTGTACAACTCACTGAAAATCTAACTGTGGAGTTTCAGTGTGACACAATGAAAATAATAAGGGCTTTGGAGCCCCAAAATTATTAAGCTTCAACCCCAGCTTTGCCACCTGTAAACTGTGTCGTCTTGAGCATGTTACTTAAAGCCTCTGAGCTTCAGCTCAATCTAATTAGTACATATAGATACTAAAAGTTGGTGGTCATGACTTTTATGACAAGCATCTTCAAAATTGTGAAACTTCAAGAGACATCAATTGACCTGAAAGAGATGCAATTGGAACCTTTACAGAACTCTACAGAATTTTTAATCACCTTTATTTTTGTTGTTTTAGCTAGACGTATTAATTATTCTGATCATTTGCTACAAATGTTTTGCAACAAAAATGTATTTGGACCAATTTTTTCCATTATTGTTTACCCAGCTGCAAAATGAAATTGCTTCATGTGTTTGCCAACATCTTCAAGCAGAAGAACAATGTAAACATTCAAATAAATAAATTACATACCTCTATGCTTTTAATCCTATTCTCAGTGATATGTGAAATTCCCGTATGAAGCAAAGTTGTTTTGATTTCTCTTTCAAGAGCTTGAATTTCATCCCATTTATTAAGTATTTCACACCTCTTCTTTTCGACCTTCTCAATAAGAGTGAGGTGATCCTCATCCATTACATCTTTCTTAGATAATTCTGGAAATATTTTTAAAAGCAAAGTAGTACTGTTTATTACATCATCTCTTAATAATGGCATTATGCATTACTAACAGTATTATGTATGTTATATATAGCTATAAAATCTAATGTAACTCAAGCTCCAAGCAGCTCAATAAAAATGATCTGATCTGAGAATGGGGATATTCCTCCTCTAATTTATTTATACAATCAACAAGCATTTATTGAGTGCCCAATTTGAGCACCCAACATAACGTGAGGAAGGTGCAAGGACGACTTTGCAGAAGTGTGACAAAGTTGAGACCCAAAGGGTGAAAAGGTGTTAGACAAGGGAAGGGAATAATGAATGGGGCAGAAGAGCAGAACTTGGCACATTTCAGAAAACAAAAACAAAAACAAACAAACACAAAAACAACAACGATATAGTAGGGTGGGAACATTGAGGGGCATGGAGTGACATCAATGAATACTAGAAAGGAAGCAGGGGGAGATCTGAAAAGGTCTTGTAACCTATGTTAGGAAATTAGTCAATGTGGAAGGCTCTTAAGCTGGGGTCAGCACATGCAATGGTCTTTCTACAGTACCAAAAGTAGATGAGAAAGGGTGAAGCTGAAACAGGATGACCAGGCAGAAAGCTACTACACTCATCCAAGCAAGATCAGACCAGGATAGTACCTGAGGCATAAAGAGAAGTGGAGAGATACAAAAAAGATTTAGGGAACAGAACAAGGAAGGCTTGGTAACTGACTGGATCCAGATGCAGAGGACAGGTAGGTATCAAAATAACACCTAGGTTTCAGCTTTGCTACAGCAAGGAACAGAGGCAGTAGGAAGGAAGGGCATTCAATGCAGCAGAGATGTAAGAGAGCTGGGTTTGAATCTCACCTGGGCCACTAACTACAAGCTGTGTTGAAGTGATTGATAGGGTGGTGGGAGGGGAAGATTTCTGCCACAGGCTTTCTGACTCGACTTCCATGTGTTTGGAGACGCCATTCACTGAAACAGAGAGTTTCACTGGGGACGTGCTGAGTTGAGGAGTCTGTGGGATACTCAAGTGGCCATATCCAGTAAGTAATTGGATATAGGGATCTCAAGCCTAAAAAAGAGATTTGGGCAGGAAAAAGATTTGGAATGAAAGATGTGTGCATTGAACCAAAGACATGTTGGGTTGCAACAAATATCAATATTGAAGGGTTCAGAAAAGTGATGGAGACACTAAGAGTAACTCACTGCTGAAAGAACTTCATCATCAAACAGCACAGTTAGATTCTGACTACAGTAGTAAGACAATTTCTTTGAGAAAGAATAACTAATCCTTTTTGGTAGGAAAAAAAGCAATTAAAAGAGTGATAACATTTACCCATACATGGGGAACAACACAGAAACCACTGCCATCATTCCAACTTGCCAAATTTGGAAGAAGAAAAAACTTTGAAAATGAGTTTTGAAATTTGGGGGAATTAGCTAAGCAGACACACAATGAACTAAACAAGGAAGCAGAAACAGCCAGGGTTAAGCTGTTAAACTATGACATCTGATCCCCACCTTAACCTAAGCAGAACGTTTTAACCTACAACAATTACCTGGGGACACAGGAGCCAAAAGGAGTGAAAGACCACTTCAATGACCCAACAGTTGTTACCCCTTTTCTACCAAAAGAGGAAGACGAAGGAGGCACCTGGGTGCCTCCCTCAGTTAAGCATTTGCCTTTGGTTCAGGTCATGATCTCAGAGTCCTGGGATTGAGCCCCTCATCGGGCTCCCTGATCTGCATGGAGTCTGCTTGTCCTTCTCCCTCTCCTCCCACTAACTCTCTCTCTCTCTCTCTCTCTTTCTCTTTCAAATAAATAAATAGAATATTAAAAAAGAGAAAGAGAGAAAAAGACTGAGGCACCAGGAGGGGGAAGTTCCACAGAACATACATACATACAGAGGTTCCTGAATTAGAAAGCTTCAGGAAAAGAATAAAGGAAGATGAGCACAAGCCACCAGATTTCTTCGATAATGCTGGGAAATGTCAGAAACAGCTAGAATCAACTATTAAGGAACATTTACTACAGTTCTAGAAATTAGCAATATCTCCTTGTTTATTGTTTTTAAATCACTGATGTTTTATCCTGTTAGCAGTTAGCAATGAAAATTTTAAGTCTAAAAGAAAAATGGGACAAATACCATATGATTCCACTCATAAATGGAATCTTGAAAAAAAAAGAACAAACAAAAAGCAGAATCAGACCTATACCTACAGAGAACAAAGTGATGGTTGCCAGAGGGAAGGGGCTAGAGGGATGGACGAAATGAGTGAATTGGAGAGGAAGACTCAGGCTTCCAGTTACAGAATGAGTAAGGCACAGTGTTAAAGAGCAGAGCATAAGGAATTCAGTCATTGATACTGTAACAGTGATGTACTTGGATAGATGATAGCTACACTCCTGGTGAGCATCCCATAATGCATGAATGTGTCAAATCACCAAGTTGTACACCTGGAATTAATGTAACATTGTGTCAGTTATATTAAGAAGAGAAAAGAAGGAAAGAAAAGAAAAGAAGAGAAAAGAAAAGAAATGAAAAGAAAAAAAGAAAATGGTGGAGCTGTGTTAGGAGACAGCAAGGAAATAGGAAACAGGGAGCTGGAGTCCCATCCATGACTTTTCTATAGGAGGAACCCAAGAATACACAACATGGGTGCAGGAGAAAGATGTACCCCACCCCCCATAAGTACTAACACAGGGTCAGAAGATAAGCACTGCACCAGCCTAGGATAAAAAAAGAGGCCAGGACTGTGGCCACAGGAAGCCCTTGGAAGCTGGCCAACAGGTGACTCACCCAAGTGCTGATTGCAGGGAGGAAAGAAGTAACAGAAGGAAACAAAAGATCCCAGTAAGAAGAGGGATTTGAGGCCAAGTTCTGCTAAGAACTTAAAACAGGTTAGTCTGTAAGTATACCCCAGAAGTTGCTGAGGTGGGTGGAAAGTGATTCCAGCATGAGTTAGTATTTAACAAACTTGGAAGAAAAATGGCATTTGGCTGAATCATTGCATTAATAGTATAGAGTGTATTTTGGTTACTTAATCATATTCTTAACTGTGTATCTAATTTTAAAATAATTTTAATATTTATCTAATGCATAAGGATTCATAGATGTAATTAGATCCTCATCAACTGTGTAGTCTTCCTCACAAGCAGCCATGAGGAAGGGGAGGAATGGGCAGGACCACTCCCCTGAGCCAAGCTCCCTGGTCCTACTTCCCATGGATACTTGCATTTATTTAATCCTCACAGCGCACCTGAGAGGGAAGTACCATCATTATCCTGAACTAACAGGCAGGCAGCTGAGACTAATGGAATTGTGATAACGAAGCTGGCGGTCTGGGTGATCCACCTGCCCCATGGCCTGCCAGGGAGATGAGTCCAGCCCAGCACACCATGGGAGCGGGGCTGAACCCAACACAGAACGTGTCTGTAAGACAGAGGACATCACAAACTGGGACAGCCTGGGAAACATATTGTTTGTGAACACTGATTTCTTTGAGCCGGGAAAAGAGATGCACAGGTTCTGGAATCCAGAATGGACTGTCTTCATTGTTGTTACCCTGGCAACCACAAGAGGCCACAGCCCCGTGTGCTGTGGTTCAGTCCCATGTAGGGTGCTGAGTTGTGTCCACAGCCCCCTCCAAAGCCTGTCATTATGTCAAGACCCTTTCTGTAGGGTACGATTAGTCCTTCAGCACTCCCTCATGGGAACTGTTCCCATATGTATATCACTTGCTCAATTTCTTAGGATCTATTCCACATGTCTTGGTCAAAACTTGACATAATTCTTTCTATAGGAGGTCTTGACTAAACTCGTTATTCCACTAAAAACCACAAAGATCCTAGAGAAGAAGGATGTGGTGTCCATGTCCAGAGAAACTAAAAAACCGAAGGTGCGCAGAGCACCAGCTACAGCAGTCATAATCTCCACACCTGACAGGACCGATTACAGAGATGAACAGTCTCCTGCACCTTTAAAGTACTTTATTTAACCTCTTCAGATTAAATGAGAACTTGCTGGATTTCTAAAGAACTTGATGGGAAAAAGTACATGAATAAAATTTAATAAGCTCTCTGAAAAAAAAAAGAAAAACTGCTTCAAACGAATAATAGCAGGCAGCCCTAAATTGCAGACAGTCACAGACGAGGACATGAAGATTCTTTACGCAGAGGTCAGAAGGAAACGTCCCACAACTACTTGCCTGATTTTTCCTTAGCAGATTGCAGCAGTGTTTGCTCCCTCTCGAGTTCGCTTCTGAGTCTACAGGTTTGGTGATTAAAAAAAAAAAAAGCAGTAAAACATCAGAACCTTTCTTCCTTATCTATTTTATGCCATAAGTCTTTCTTTTCTTTTTTTTTTACATAAAATTTATGCAATTTATTTTAAAAAACTATAGATCAATGTACCACCCAAGAACAGCTCTTATTAACATTTTTACCTCTTTCTCCCAGCATTTTCTATTAAATAAATTACCGGGTATTTTTCAAAGAGCTAGAGCAAATAATCCTAAAATTTGTATGGAATCAGAAGAGACACCGAATCGCTAAGGAAATGTTGAAAAACAAAAATAAAACTGGGGACATCACGTTACCTGATTTCAAGCTTTACTACAAAGCCATGATCACCAAGACAGCATGGTACTGGCATAAAAACAGACACATAGACCAGTGGAACAGAGTGGAGAGCCCAGATATGGACCCTCAACTCTATGGTCAATTAATCTTCGACAAAACAGGAAAAAATATACAGTGGAAAAAAGACAGTCTCTTCAATAAATGGTGCTGGGAAAACTGGGCAGCTATATGCAGAAGAATGAAACTCGACCATTCTCTTACACTGTACACAAAGATAAACTCAAGATGGATAAAAGATCTCAACGTGAGATAGGAATCCATCAGAATCCTAGAGGAGAACATAGGCAGTAACCTCTTCGATATCAGCCACAGCAACTTCTTTCAAGATATGTTTCCAAAGGCAAAGGAAACAAAAGCGAAGATGAACTTTTGGGACTTCATCAAGATCAAAAGCTTCTGCACAGCAAAGGAAACAGTCAACAAAACAAAGAGGCAACCCACAGAATGGGAGAAGATATTTGCAAATGACACTACAGACAAAAGATTGGTATCCAGGATCTATAAAGAACTCCTCAAACTCAACACACACAAAACAGATAATCATATCAAAAAATGGGCAGAAGACATGAACAGACACTTCTCCAATGAAGACATACAAATGGCTATCAGACACATGAAAAAATGTTCATCATCACTAGCCATCAGGGAGATTCAAATTAAAACCACATTGAGATACCACCTTACACCAGTTAGAATGGCCAAAATTAGCAAGACAGGAAACAACATGTGTTAGAGAGGATGTGGAGAAAGGGGAACTCTCTTACACTGTTGGTGGGAATGCAAGTTGGTGCAGCCACTTTGGAGAACAGTGTGGAGATTCCTCAAGAAATTAAAAATAGAGCTTCCCTATGACCCTGCCATTGCACTACTGGGTATTTACCCCAAAGATACAGATGTGGTGAAAAGAAGGGCCATCTCTACCTCAATGTTTATAGCAGCAATGGCCATGGTCGCCAAACTGTGGAAAGAACCAAGATGCCCTTCAACAGACGAATGGATAAGGAAGATGTGGTCCATATACATTATGGAGTATGATGCCTCCATCAGAAAGGATGAATACCCAACTTTTGTAGCAACATGGACAAGACTGGAAGAGATTATGCTGAGTGAAATAAGTCAAGCAGAGAAAGTCAATTATCATATGGTTTCACTTATTTGTGGAGCATAACAAATAGCATGGAGGACAAGGGGAGAAGGAGAGGAGAAGGGAGTTGAGGGAAATTGGAAGGGGAGGTGAACCATGAGAGACTATGGACTCTGAAAAACAATCTGAGGGTTTTGAAGGGGCAGGGGGTGGGATTTTGGGGGATCCAGGTGGTGGGTATTGTAGAGGGCACGTATTGCATGGAGCACTGGGTGTGGTGCAAAAAATAATGAATACTGTTACACTAACAAAATAAAAAATAATACATAAACAAATTGATTAAATAAAATAAAAAGATTTTATGATATAACAGAAAAAAATGTGTAGTCTTATTTTTGCAGTCCTAGCAACAAATGCCAGCCACAAGTCTTTCTTAAAAATTGAGAAACAGGGGCACCTGGGTGGCTCAGTGGGTTAAAGCCTCTGCCTTCGGCTCAGGTCATGATCCCAGAGTTCTAGGATCGAGCCCCACATCGGGCTCTTTGCTTGGCAGGGACCCTGCTTCCCTCTCTCTCTCTGCCTGTCTCTCTGCCTACTTGTGATCTCTGTCTATCAAATAAATAAAATCTTTAAAAAATTTGAGAAACAAAAAGTGATCTCAGTTTCTATCAAAAAAGGTCCTTTGAAACCCTATATAAAATGAAAGCCTCAGTCAGTCAAATTAAATAAACAAAAGAATACTTTCTTATGCAGATTGTGTAAACCACTAGTTGAAAAAGCTGGTTAATATAAAACAAATGATTTCCTATAGTGTTTATCGATATTATTTTGTTACTGGAAATTCTACAAAGCAAGGAGGCAAAGAAACTAGAATTTACACGCTGAGATGGACAAGAGATAAGGGACAGTGAAGGCACATGACCGCAGCTAGAATGCACACTGCCTGTTCCCTGGCCCTAGTGATTTCCTCCCACAGATACAATTCACAAATCCCACTACTTTTACACTAAAAATAAAATAAAAGACATTTTAAAAGAAGGAAATGAAAACATATGTAATCTCTTTGTATCCTGTCCCAGAACAAAACAAAACAAAACAAAAACTAAATCAACTGTCTAATGTCTAATACATTGCAGGGCGGGAGAAGGGAGTCTAATATGTATCTACATATCTCTTATACAGAGAAATCCTGTGATTTGGTTAAAAACATCAGCACCACAAATGAGTTGATGCTTCCAATATATAGGGGCCTAATGATTAAATAGCTTCACAGATATTAGCTCATTTTATCAGAGATGAAAAGAAACAGAAAAGTATTCTGACTCTTAATTTTAAGAATTTGAGATCAAATGAATTAATAAGAATGGTAACAGCCTTGTCAGTATGCATTTAGTTTCCAGAAGTGTTAAACACATTATAGCTTTAAATACTATGTTCTATTCCGTTGCTTTTTCTTTTTCTTATGAAACTTCAGTTATATGTAAATTGGATCTTCTTTGCCTGTGTTCCATTTTAACCAGTTTTCCGTTTTTCCTCTCTCTTTTTATTTCTTTTGTTATCTCATCATTCTCTGGCTTGTTTTTTGTTGGTCACAAAAGACTATCTCTCCCTGGGTGTGTCATAATTTTGTCTGGATATCTGACATAATTTTCACTTTTTCAACAATCTTTCCTCAGTGGTCAAATCGTGCTTCATGTCTTCTTTTTTATTGCTGTGCTTAGTGTTTACATTTCTAACTCAAGGTCATTTTCACAGCTAGAAATGTTCTTTTAAGATTATTTCACTAAGTTTGGTGTGCTGTGGTACAGTTTTCTTCTCCAACTTTTGTTGTTGTTGGATGGTAAGGGTTTTCATCAGCTAAATTGTCTGGGTCCTCATTTTATCAAGAAATACAGTTGCTTGTGCAGACAGGGATCATTTGCACCTCTGCATTTTTGTGGGTAGGGATAGCAGTTTGGGGAGTGTGTGAGGTTCCTAATTCAAGAGAACACATTTTTGTCAGAATAGCAAAGTATGCTTTTGTTCCTATTTTAGGGCGTTTTATTTTGATTTTTTACTGGACAACTTTTTTTTTTTTTTTTGAGGAAAGAAAGAACAGTAGTGAAAGGGTCATGTGCCCTTCAATTTTTTCTTTTATGGGATTCTAAACTCCCCTTCCTTGCTTCTTTTTCTCTTCAATGCACAGTTCTAAAGAATGCTGATCACTTCCTTTTAAAGCTCTTCCCACCATATCATTATCATTTCAGTAGTGTTCCTTGCTTCTATGCTCACTTCAAAGTCCTTTCCATCTAAGTCAGTGCTCTGATAGACCAGTAAACTCTGTGGTATTATTTAGGAAAGCTGCTCTCTCTCCCTCCCTCCCTCCCCCCAACCTCTTCCACCCTTCTCTCTCTCCCTTCCTATACCTTCTCTCCCCTTTCCACCTCTCCTTCACCTTCTCCATCCCTCCCCCTCTCTCAGGACTTCCCCCTTCTCCCTCTTTCTCTCTCCCCACTCTCTCTGTTCCCCTCCCGCTTCTTCCTCTGTCTCTCTCTCTCTCTCTCTCTCTCTCTGGCACTAATTTTAGAACATGATAGGCTTTCAACCAGCTCCATTCTTCTCTCTTCCCCCGCTTCCCTTGCTCTCACCAAGGTTTGCAGAAAGAGAGTAGATAATGATTCACTGGCATTTGATGTGTATTTTTCTAATTACAAGTATTTTGAAGTTTGGTGGCTTTTTGTCTTCTACTTATACTGAAAGCATGGTTGTGTCTTTTGGGTTTTTGTTTCTTATTTTGTTTTCTTAATGATATTTTGGGTGTGTTGGCTCTGCTTCAATCTTCTTTAAATCCTCTATAAAATATATGCCCTATCCAATTGTGATTTCATCTGAAAGACTACACAGAAAATTTAAAAGATTTTTTTAAAGTTAAAAACATAATAAGATCATTCATGAAAGGTATCTTGACTTTGCAGCAGTGTCACCTGCCTATACAAAGCAGGTGACAAATCCCCATCTTATACAAAGATAAGATGCCTTCAGAGACCATCCCAAACCACCCTCTCCTTCCCATACAAACACCAGATTTGGTTGAATTTCCTAGTAACACATGTAATGGCTTGTGAAAGAGGCCAGATGACAGGGTATTACTACAGGCAAAGTGCCTTCCCCAACAGTGCAGAAAAAAAAAGGTAAATATATATGCTTGTCACATGGTTTTAAAATATTATAAAATAATATAATCCCAACATAAGTCAAATCAGACTGTTAACTCTTACTTGTCATTATGCTCCATGGCTGCTTTGGTGGCTGCCACCATCACCCTCAGTTCCTCCTTGGCCTGGGTGACATCTGCAGTCTTCACTGATCTCTTCTCCAGCCCCTTGGCATTAGCCAGCATTATTCCAGTCTAGGAATTACAAGGTCATAATGAGTAAGATACACACAGGAAAGGTGAACATTTTCCTTTTTTGTTATTAATTGTATTCAAGATATCCTGTGTCAAATAGAAATTCGAGGTAAAATAGGCAAATAGGATGAAAGGGAGGAGAAAATATTGGAGGAAGGAGAACTAGTCATGTAAAGATCTGGGTAAAATATTGTTTTTTAAGATTTTATTTTCTTAAGAAAGTTAAAAAGTGGTAGGAGTTCACTGTGGGTTTGTGCGGGAAAAAGAAATGCTAAATAAATTGTTCCAAGTATCTTATCATGAGCACCAGCATTATTTCTAAATTGGTGAGAAACCATTTAATTTGATTATTCTACATGGATATAAAGCAATGCTGAACTCAAATGTGGAGAAACAAAGATCTCTGCTTAATTAAGTGATAGGTTGCCACATTTCCAGAAACAGAAAGAGGGATCTGATACCCTGTTGGCCAGGGAATTTTCATGCTGATATTTGATTGGGATAAAGGCCTGTATGCTCCTTTCAGACTCAACCTCAAAAACCAAGGAATATGGTAGACCCCCCAACTGGAGGCTTTGTTTATTCCTGTCAAACAAAAGCTTATTTTTCTGCAGCATGAAAATCTCAAAACAAAGAAAACTCTGCATACATTCAAGTTTGAATTAAGGAGTAAATCAGAGATGGGGAAGATGGCAATGAAGTAGGAGGACACCAGGCTCACTTCATCCCTCAGATACAACTAGCTAACTATCAAATCCCTAAATACCCCCCAGAAATCGAGCTGAAGACTGGCAGAATAAACTCCACAACTAAAGGTAGACAAAAGCCCACATCAAGGAAGGCAGGAAGTGTGGAGACTTTGTTTGGGAGAGAAATGGGGGTGGCCAATGTAATGAGGAGAGTGCTACAGTCTCAAAGAAGGGTGAGAGACAGACTAGCACATAGGGTAGCCCACACGGGGAACACAAATCCCCATACCAATTGGCTTGGAAAAGCAAGAGAGGCTGAATTTCATGAATTCTTGCAACTAGTGGGGCTTAAAGCCTAGAGTTTTAAAGGTCAGTGTGCCTGGTTCAGGGAGAGCTCCAAGATCACTGGGGCTACTCCAGGAGACAAGGCAGGGCAAGCAGCCTGAAGAGATACAGCATGGGAACAGCAATCCAAAGAGTGCCTGGAGCACATAGTGGGGAGGTTATTTGCTCGTCTTGGAGTGTGTCCCAGAGAGGACGTGTTCACAGAGAGACCCCTCTGGGAACAAGGGAACTGACAAGGACCATTTCTTTTACATAAGCACAGGGCCACCTTCAGGAACCAGTGCCACTTGGACACTCTCTACCTAACTTGCTTATTCCAAGCTCTGCCCCAGTCCCCCATACGTCAGTGGAACCCACTATCCCAGCCACGTCTGCCATGGTCCAGTACAGTGGATCTCCTCCCCCAGAAGAATCGCCTAAACCCCTGTCAACACCACATCTCCCAATCTGGGAGTTTTCCAGGGCCTCAGTGCTAATGGTAGTGGTGACAAGTCTCATTTCAAAAGCAGAATATACTTAGTTAAAGTGCACCACGTTCAGGCAAGGGACAAAACACTGCCCACAATAGGCAAAGAGAGCCTCAGCAGACAACTGGCCTAAAAGGATGAAGTGGCCAGGAAAAAGCAGCAGAGGGCATGCAGCACACATTGGAGACACTCCCTGAAGTGCCAGACCCTGTGGAATAGGGCACAGTACATGACAGGGCACTATAGGACTCTTCTTCATAAGGCTATTAACCTCAAGAACAGGGAGATGTAGCTGACTTTTCTAACACAGAGAAACAGGAATAGACAAAATGAGAAGACAAAAGAGAAGACAGAATGAGAAGAGTTTGTCCCAGATTGAAAGAACAGGATAAGGCCACAGTCAGAGATCTAAGATACAGATGTAAGTAACATGCCTGAAGGAGTATTTAAAGTAATGATCATAAAGATATTCACTGGACTTGAGAAAAGAATAGAAGACAGAGTGAAGGAAAGTAATCAAGCTGAACGAAAGAGAGTAAAAAGACTTATGCAAAACGAGAATAGACTTAGGGAACTCAGTGACTCCATCAAACATAATAACATTCATATTATAGGGATCCCAGAAGCAAGAGAGAGAAAAGGGGACAGAAAATTTCTTTGAAGAAATAGCTGAAAATTTCCCTAATCTGGAGAGGGAAAGAGACATTCAGATCCATTAGGCACAGAGAACACCCAACAAAAATAAAATTTTTAAGAAAAATTTTTTTAAATTTTAAAAAGGAGGGGCACCTGGGTGGCTCATTGGGTTAAAGCCTCTGCCTTCAGCTCAGGTCATGATCCCAGGGTCCTGGGATCGAGCCCCACATCAGGCTCTCTGCTCAGCAGGAAGCCTGCTTCCTCCTCTCTCTCTTTCTCTGCCTGCCTCTCCCCCTACTTGTGATCTCTGCCTGTCAAATAAATAAATAAAATATTAAAAAAAATTTTTTAAAGGAGATCCACACCAAGACATATTGTAATTAAGTGGGTAAAATGTAGTGATAAGGAAAAAAAATTTAAAGCATCAAGACATATGTAGACAGTTACATATAGGGGAAACCCTACAAGGCTATTAGTGGATTTTTCTGTAGAAACTTTGCAAGCCAGAAAAGGGTGGCATGAAATATTCAAAGTGCTGAATGGGGAAAATCTGTAGCCAAGAATACTTATTCAGCAAGGCTAAAATTCAGAATAGAAGGAGAGATAAAGAGTTTCCCAAACAAATAAAAACTAAAGGAGTTCATGACCACTAAACCAGCCCTACAAGAAATATTAAAAGGGACACTTTGAGTGTAAAGAAAAGACCAAAAGTGACAGTACCAAAGGTAGGAAACACAAAAGCATTACAAACAAATATTTATATAAAAAGTCAGTCAAGGAATTCACAAAATAAAAGGATGTAGATTATGACACCATATACCTAAAATGTGGGAAGGAGAGGACTAAAGAATGTGTTCAAACTTAAACAATAATCAACTTAATATAGACTGCTATATGTAGATGTTATATGCAAACCTAATGGTAACCACAAATCAAAAACCAGTAATAGATATACAAAGAACAACAAAATCCAAATGTATCACTAAGAAAACCAACAAATTATGAAAGAAGAAAGGATCAGGAAAAAAACCTCAGAAACAAAGACAAAATAAGTAACAAAATAGCAATATATACATATCTATCAATAATCACTTTTAATGTAAGCAGACTAAATACTCCAAGCAAAAGACATAGGATGACAGAATGGATAAAAAACAAGACCCATCTATATGCTGCCTACAGGAGACTCATTTCAGACCTAAAGACACCTGCAGATTGAAAGGGAGGGGACAGAGGAATATTTATCATGCAAATGAGTATCAAAATAAAGTTGGAATAGCAATGCTTACATCAGACAACATATACATATATATATTTTTTTAAGATTTTATTTATTTATTTGACAGAGAGATAGAGAGTACAAGTAGGCAGAGTGGCAGGGAGAGGAGAAGCAGGCTCCCATTCTAGCAGGGAGCCCAATGTGGGGCTTGATCCCAACACCCTGGGATCAGGACCTGACCCAAAGGCAGCTGCTCAACTGACTGAGCCAGCCAGGTACCCCAGACAATATAGATTTTAAAACAAAGACTGGAACAAGAGACAAAGAAGGACCATATATAGTAACAAAAGGGGTAATCTAATAAGAAGATATAACAATTGTAAATATTTATGCACCCAACATGGGAGCATGCAAATACATAAAGCAGTTAATAACAAACATAAGGTAATTAATTGATAGTAATACAATAATAGTAGGGGACTTTAACACTCCACTTACATCAATGGAGAGATCATTCAATCAGACAATCAGCAAGAAAACAATGGCATTGAGTGACACATTGGTCCAGGTAGATTTAAGAGATATATATTTTAACATTCTACCCTGAATTTCAAAATACACATTCTTTTCAGGTGTACATGGAACATTCTCCAGAATAGATCACATATTGGGCCACAGAACAAGTATCAACAGTTCAAAGAGATCAAAGTCATACTAAGCAGCTTTTCTGATCACAATGCACTGAAACTAGAAATCAAACACAAGAAAAAAATCTGGAAAGACAACAAATAAAAGGATGTTAAATAACATGCTACTAAACGATTAATAGGTTAACCAAGAAATCAAAGAAGAAATCCAAAAGTACATGGGAACAAATGAAAATGAAAACACATGGTCCAAAACCTCTGGGAGGCAGCAAAAGCTCTTCTAAGGGGGAAGTTTATAGCAATACAGGCCTACCACAAAAGGCAAAAATATCTCAAATAAACAACCTAACCTTATACCTAAAGGAGCTAGAAAAAGAGCAATAAACAAAACCAAAAAATAGAAGGAAGGAAAGAAATAATAAAGATTAGATCAGAAATAAATGATATAGAAAAAGAAAGAAAGGAAGGAAGGAAGGAAGGAAGAAAGAAAGTGTAGAACAAATCAATGAAATCAGGAGCTGGTTCTTTGAAAAAAAAAAAAACTAACAAAAATTGTTAAATAAAACTATATAGGATGCCTGGGTGTCTCTGTTGGTTAAGCCTCCAATTCTATTTTTTTTTTAAAGATTTTACCCATTTATTTGAGAAAGAGTGAGAGAGAGATTAAGAGAACAAGTTGGGGGAGATGGACAGAGGGAGAAGCAGACAGCCTAAAGAACAGGGAGCCCAATGTGTGATTTGATCCCAGGACACCCAGATCATGACCTGAGCCAAAGATAGACACTCAACCGAGCCACCAAGGTGCCCCCTTTTCCTTTGCTTTTCTCTTTTCTTTTCTTTATTTTATTTTTTTTTTAAGCCTCCAGCTCTTGAGTTTGGCTCAGGTCATGATCTCAGAGTTGTGAGATTGAGCCTCATGTCGGGCTCTGTGCTCAGGTGAATCTGCTCAAGATTCTCTTTCTCCCTCTCTCTCTCAAAACAAATAAATAAATCTGTA